GTCAAAGTGGACCCCCGATTCACTTAACAGAACTACTGAACCCTCACGAATGTGTCACAACTCGACTTCCGGTTTGATCACCAGGTAGTTAACGCTCAGCCGTGCTTCCATCATAACTTGTACTCTAGCCTTCCTCATTTAAAATCCACCTATTGTCATCCTCCTTCCTACACATCTCTACGGTGTGATCATCCTCTCGAAATTGAGAGAGCTAATTTATCTGCTACATTAGAATTTTCTATATTGAATTACTGACCTTGCTTATTTTTTTTCGTTCGTTTGTTTACAAACTGATATATTTCTTTTGTGATCTTTCCGCTGTTTCCGAGTAGGAGGGGGGTCAGGACTCGTCAAGCTGCAAAAATGCAGCTTTTTTTTTTTTTCAGTCCCCTTCCAACATGTACTTCTAGCTGATGCAGAAATAAGCATCATTATTATTAATTTCTTACCGCTAGAATCGCCAACTAATCGACACAACATTTTTACGCGTTCGCTATGTATCAGTGGCCTGAATTCGCTGGCGTACATTATGGTATAACTTATATTAACCCTCTTTCGTTCCGCTTCAAATTCAAGGCGTCTCTTTTTATTTTGTATTTAATATATCGGTGCTGTTGAACTTGTTTGCCTTATACTACTTATTGAACTTTTTTTTACGTTTTTACCTCTTTTTATTATGTAATGCATCCGACGGATGTCTTTAAGGATAATAAATTTTAACTTGAACTTGAGCTATTATCCCGGGTATCTTAAGAAATACGTCGTGTGGATCTTTGTGTTGACGCTACCACGCTGGATTGCTTTGTGATGCGTTCATCGGAGTTTTTCTCGATGAACGCAGAGATCTCGTTGGCCGCGGAGTAACAAATGTTTAATCTGGACTCGGTACAGTCTGGGTTTCTTAAACTGGCAGTTGCTAGAGCGTAAACATGAAAACTTGTTTCCAGAGTTTTTGCTTCGTAGGATCGCAACCAATTACACCACGGTACCTTTGATAAACCTTTCAGTTGTGAGACATAAAAAAAAAGTGTCGAAGATTACGTAGTGGCGCCACTGGGGTCTTTCCGTATATGCGCGCGCACGTCTTCGATATCGAAATGTAACAAGATCAGGTCGCCTTTCAAGTCTGTGACGTCATCGTAGCAAAAAGTAAAACGTAACGCTTTAAAAATAAATAAACGCGTATCTTTCGACACCACATTCCGTAATTACTATACTATTTAAACGGTATCAACGTACTACTTTTAATCAGCTTTTTTGTTATCCCCCCCTGGGAACGTTCATATGTTTATGCCGAGCCCACCAAAAACCCCGAATCGCGTTGCCGGTGTGTCCGCACACCTTTTCGACACTTTCGTCGAGTTTAGAAATAAAAACACAAAACAACAAAGATAAAAACATAAAAAAAAGGTAGTGCTCGGGTGGGGCAGTTGAGTCACGGCTCGGCGCGTTCGCCCGCTCGGCGCGCGCGCGCGGGCACTTCGGGTTGCGGGGGTTTACACTCCCGTTTTCTCCCTTCCCCACGATGGACTGCAGACGAAACTACAAACCCCCAAAGCCACTCTAATTCCGTACGCGTTTGTCACGTGACCTTCGAGAGAGGGACGCTGCGACGCCAAGCGGGGAACGTCGCGTGTCACACAGGATTTGCTGGGATGACTCGCAGCGTTCCATGCGGTCCATCGGCGTGACACGGAGTTCTGAGTACACGCGGTGCTTGTTGTAACGGAGGGGGGAGGAGGTGGGGGGGATTTCTGCCGCATGACGTCAGGCGCGCACCGGTGGCGGTGCCGTCAGCCAGCTGCAACGCTCAGCTGCCGGCCGCAGTGTGTGAGCCGAGGTTCGCTCGAGTGCGTCGACGGCGATACCGTCGGCACCGACGCGAAGAGCAAGCACCCTTTCGCTCTTCGGAGGATGACACGGCGCGAGCGGGACGCGCTGCGGGTTCTACGATCGTTGACGCGTCGTGATTTGGTTGTCGGACGCGCGTGCCTCGATATAGAAAACGCCGGGCAAAAGCAAAACGCATTCGCGCCATGGATGGATGAACGGATGGATGGATGCGGTGAACGCTTTGAATCGGGCGTCACCTTGCGCGCTCCAGCCCTCGTTTTTATTTTCGATGGCCACTGTGCGTATGTTTACAAACATAATCAGGTGAAGATATTATATTAAAACCTATTTTAAACATATCTAAAAATATATATATATAGGATATGTATAACCCAAGCGCCTCTTTGCAATCGGGTACGTGCAATTCCGGCAAGTTGCAAAGTTAAAGACGAAAATAAAATACCGTTTTCTGATTTAACTTTTAAGTTACACAACCCCTACTTGGTGATCTTCGTGTCCGCAAGATATTTGAGAATAGCCATATGGTCGGTTGCTCTTGAACTGCAATTGCGAGCTCGCCTTATTCAACCGAATATAAAACTTGCTTTCTGCAGCTATTATGTTCGAAGTGTCGATGCGTTTGGCAAACCAAACACTTTTCTTACTCGTGAAAGTCCTCGCACGGTCGCGCTGCTGGGCTGTAACTTTCCTTTTATACAAACCTTTAAATTCATTATGATTTTTTTATACATTGTCGTATCATCAAATCCCGCGCACTTAGCTTTTGTTTCCATCACGCGGAAAGGCAGTCACTGGAGTCGATAACAAGTACCTTAAGAGCTATAGATACAACACAGGCAAGCTGGTCAACCTTGAGTTCTAGTGGCTGTGGATTGATGACTAATAAAATTGAAGTTAACTAAATAGAAGGACGAAACGTTTAGCTGTGCGACAAATCTCGGAAAACGTTTCCACTCGCATAAATCATTGTTTTTTGCCCTGATTCGAAAGCACGAAAGGTGTTCCGGTTCAAACCGTGTTTTTCGCACTTTTCCGGTTCAACCGGTTTCATAAATTTCTAGTTCACGGGGCCATCTCCTCTAGGACGTAGTAATCTGCTCATTAAATATCATTAGGGGAAGTAAATGTTGGTTCAGTATTTTGTAATAAAATAGTATCCTTTGGGCTAGAACGATGCTTGGTGTTATTGCATGGCTACACGAGAGCGCGAAACTCGTGAAATTATAAGTCGAAAAAAACACAGAAGAAGAAAACATCCACGCGTCAAGGGTGCGTGTACCTGATAAAGCGAGGATTGCTAAAGCGCCCCGAGAACATAATTACGCCACATATTCTTGTCGTTCCATTTTTGTTTGCACCGTTCATGTTGCAATATGGTGTACCTGCTGACACGGGCACCATATTTGGCGGTAGCTAACCTCTATCAGAAGCGTCTTCTTTTCTCGACTGATGTCCCTCCAAAAGTAACACGCGCGTTTACGTGTTCTCCCCTTCTCTCAAGGAGCAATCGCTCAAGCAGTCTAGTTTGGAAGAAGTGATTGCTGCGACTAAAGTATCTTTAAGGGAACATGTAGGCATGTTCACACTAAAATGGATATCTGGAGGATCCGTGGAAAGCTGTATGAGAAGTTTTCGTTTAAACGGCATAAAAAAAAAGGAAAAGAACGCCGACCGTTTTACTTCTACCCTGTTAGGTCATGCACACATAACAAAAATTGGAGGTGGTCATTCTTGCAGTGTGTTACATATACAAGTCTGAGAGTGTGAAACGTGCGACCTTTATAACGTCTTGTATTGTTGTCACGTGGTTTCAAATCGTGTCTCTTCTTTTGTATTGGTGCTGTCTTTACTTTTTGAAAGTGTCGTTGCGGCGCTGTAATAGACGAAGTACAAAGCGGGCCTGTGTGAGCCGTGTCGGGTAGGTTGACTGGTAAGAGATGCAGTAGTGCATAGACGTAGCTGGCATCGAGGAGGCAAGAAGAGAATTGCCAACGTTTGTCCCTGTTTCGGACACTTGATGTGACAAAGCTGAGAAGTTAAATCTTTCCAGTTTTTAACTTTAAGCCACGTGTCAGAAGTGTCCTGCGCTATGTGTAATCAGCACCATTTTATAGTTACGAAGGTATGTAATACTTATGAACGTCTATATTTTTTTGTAGAAGTCAGACATTATTTTTTTGATTATTATTATCATCTAAGAATCACTTTTGTTTCAGTCACAACAGCGTTTTTCGATGTTCAGTTTAAAATATATGTTGTTTTAGCTATTCTGAAATATGCCAAAAGAATCTTATTTTGTGGTTGCAGTTGCAACATGTATTTTAGTATCTGCCAAAACAAAAGAGTATAAAATTATGATAACAGTGCGCGTCCTTCTGTCAACTTCTGCAACACTGTCCCTGCAATATACAGTCATGTCTCGTTAATATGGACCCTGTTAATATGAATACCCTGCTATATTGGCACTATTTTCGGAGACGAATTGAAAAAAAAGGCATGCATTTTTGTCTCATTATTATAGACAACTCACATTATGGTAGTTTGTTTATGGGAACGGAAATGTCCATATTAACGAGACATCACTGTATTGTTGGTACGACCCCCCCCTTTCCGAACTTCCAAAACTTACAAAATAGATATATTTTTTTTTTCTTCAGCCTTTTGTTTGTTTAAGGGAACAGCAAGCGTCCAGTTTTGTGGTCACATCATTCTTACGTAATTGTCGACACTTCCGTGTCGAAATTCTTCCCTGTCCTAGTCTACCGCACACAGAGTGACTTATTAATGTAAACATTGTTTCGTGGCCTACACGCGTGTTTCCGAGCAATTCTTTCAACTTTTTTTTTGTTTTTGTATTTAGCATGTGTGTTTTTTATAACTTCAGGACATCGTGTTTGATATCTATCTATGGTTAGCAACATGCAGACAGTTTGTGGTGATTAATTGTGTAAGAGGCAGCTTTTTCGTGGGGCGATGCTTGTTGTTGCCAACACGTGTTCCCGAACAACACTTAGATGTTTCAGGACAGCTAATGCTTACCTGTTCGTATCTGACGTTAGAACCGCGTGTCAGGCATTCCGTTGTCAATGAACGACATGCACACGTGCAGTTTAAGAGTAGAACAGAGTAAGCACGTGCCAACTGACCTGCGAGCCTGAGCGCTGACATGCGCTGAAACTCGGGTTCCTCGAGCCACTTGTACATTCTTCGGAAGGTCTCCCTGCCAGACTTGAGCTTGCTCCAGGGCTTGGGGTTCCTGAGCAGGTCGGACAGAGTCCCCTGAGAGCGGCACAGCACCCGCTGGGCGAAGATGGCCTGCGGGATGCTGTAGCGCTTCAGCTCGGCGCTTATCCGCTGCGCCAGCTCCTTGGTGTTGATCTCCTCGGCCTCGTCGGCGGGACTCGCGGCACTGCTGCCACCACTGCTGCCGCTGCCCGCGTGCGAGCCCTGGGGCGTGTGTTGCGCCTGCTGCTGCTGCTGCTGTTGCTGTTGTTGCTGAGCTTGTTGCTGTTGCTGCTGCTGTTGGGGCACCTGTTGCGGGGGATGGATCAACTTTGGCGCCGGAGCGAGCACGAGACTGGACACCACGGAGGCCTTGGCGCCGCACACCATCACCTGTCCGAGGGTGGGAACGCTGCTGACGACGGGAAGGAGCACACGTGCCGGCTTGGCTTCTTGAGGGGGAGGCGGCTGGGGCGGCGTCGCCGGGGCTGCCAGGTGCGCCTGGGGCGGCGTGTGGGGTGACAGGCCGTTCAGGGGCGGCAGCATGGGCGAGTGCAGACTGGTGGGACTCTGCGGCGAGCCCAGGCGAGTGAGTTCCCGCTGAGGCGCGGCTCCGCCGTACGACGCCGTCTCGTAGCCGTTCAGCCCCTTCTCCGGCAGCCCGTTCTGCGCGTACGGTGGCGGCGACGGTAGCGAGCTGCCGGCCCCCAGCATGGGCGCCGTGCCGTGCGGCGGGCTCATGTTCATCGCGCCCGACATGGAGCCGAGCTTGTCGTACTGCGGGTAGCCCGTCATGCCGTGCATGGCGAGCGGCGCAAAACCTCCGTTGGAGCCCGGGTGCTGGTGGTGGTGTCCGTAGTGCGAGAACTTGTCCGACATGGTCGAGATGGGCGGCAGCGGCTGGAGCGGCGTGAGCGTGGCGTAGCTGCTCGACGAGAAGCCGCCGGGCGACATGCGGCCAGGGTAGGCCCCGGGGTCCAGGCCCCGGAACTCGGACGCGTCGATCATGCCTCCGGGCGACGAGCCGGGGCTCACGGGGTCGTCGAGCTCGTCGTCGGTCGGCGCTGGCGAGCCGGGGTCCTCGTCTTCGCGCACGGACAGGTCGGCCGCTCGCAGCAGCTCCGCCGAGTGGTCCGAGCCGGCCAGCGAGCGCTGCTCCTCCTCCTCGGCGTCCTCCTCCTCCCCCCGCGGGGAGTCCTCCTCGCCATCGGCGGCCCTCTCCCCCTCCGCGGCCGCCGCCTCGCCCCCCTCCCCGGGCCCTTCGGCGGCCTCGGCCGATAGTTCGCTGGCGTCCATCGTGCCTGCTGGGGCCCAGCTGCCAATCAGGGCGCCATGGGCCCACGACGACGCTCTCCGCGGGGGCCTCCCGCGCTGCCCGATAGATTTTAACGATCCGCGACGCCGTTCGAACGCCTTACTTGTTTCTCGAAGTGACGGTCGCCGTCCCACCGGCCGCCATCTTGTCCCTGTGTGGCGCCGCCGCTGCGCCCAGCGCCACTGCGCAGCGTCCCCGCTCCCCTGCGCATGCGCGGAGCTCCGACTCGCGCGGCACCCCCCGTCCGAACCCGCCACGAGGTGTCCCCCCGCCGTTGGGATTTCCCTTGAGCCGCTGTCATGGCGCGGGCTCGCCGAAATCGCGGCACCCCGCGACCGCGTTGTTGTTTACACGCGGCGACGGACACGAGGTCCGAGCCACGCGGTGCCTCCGCGCCGATCCCTCCTACTCTTCGAACGGCCATCGATCTCCTAATTATGAGCGGCGCGCCACCGATTCCCCTGCGTCCCAGTGGGTCAGGCAAGGTCAGGGCCGCCCGTCGATACTTCCTGTCCCGATGCAACCAGCGCGGCCACCACTCCAGCCGCCGGCTGCACGCCGAGCGGCGACGCGCTCCGAGCTCCTGAGAAGGATGCACCGCCGCAAGAAGACACTTGCTGCGGGGAAGAACGCCTTCCAGGAGAAGCGCTGGCGGAGCGAGAGCTTCTTGGGCCGTCTGCAACCCGAGTTGGCGACTTCGCTTTTTTTTTTTTTTTTCCTCATTCTTTTTAGCGGGAAAAGTTTTCCTCCCAAAAAGAAACGGACACAACCCTTTGTGTGTCGCAGAACACGCTTGACCCTGCTTTGTTTCTCTTTTTTTTTTCTTTAGCTCGTTTTTTTGTGTTTGTGTTTGAAAACGACACGGTGTTGACCAGGCTCGGTGAACATAACCGACGGAGTGGAGCGGCTTCAACGCTGACGGACGTCGCGCCATCTCGGGTGCGAGAAGACAACTACATGCCATCGCGGGCGCGCGAGGGCGTTTGAAGCGCCGCCATCTCGCGGACGCCAGTTCAACTAAAAGCCTCGTTTTCCCAAGTCGACGGCAGGATGACACATCGGATGGCAATTCTTTTTCCCCGTTCCCGCTTGTCCGGGGTTTCCCCCTTTTTTGTCGCCCTGCTTTTCGCGGATTCCCTTGCGTCTTCTGAATTTATTGTCTTTCTGACCTGTATATAAGTTGGTCGCTACAGTCGGGACCGAATTCTTCGCTACACTGTATAAAAATCGAATTGCATTAAAATGAAATAATATTCTCGAATGTTTCGAGTCAGTTTTAAATTATGCAACGGAGACATTTTCTTTTTTGTTGTCATCTTAACTAAAAAAAACAGTAGTAAAAAGAAAATGGCAGTGTTTAAAAAAATCGAAGACTTGCTTTTCTCTTCTCTTTTTAGAGGAACTTTTTTATGACGTTTCAAAAACAATGAAAACATATTCATTTTTTGTTGTTGTTTTGTTTCAACGTAATACCCAGCAGGCACCGCTTTACTTCAGTGTAGGTTTTTCACGTATGTACTAACATCATTCTTAAGTTCCAATATCTTATTAAATTCATGTTGTGAGAAGTAGACTTACCCTTGTGGGTAGTTTGAGTCGAAATCTTGTGCTCAGAGGAAACAGTACTCAGACAAAAGTAGCTAAAAGAAAAAGTCCTAATATTAATTTATCATAATCGTAAAATACATCGAATTAAAATTTTATAAAGCGCTTGTTCACCGCGTACAGTGTACGAGAGTATAAGCTACACTCATTAATTCATTATTGAAATCAAACCTTATTAGAACGTATAATGTATAACGTGAAACGTTCTTTGGCTGGTTGTTTCGGATTCCGTAAAGTCGTGGCCTGTGACGTCCCACAATGCAACGCGCGCAGTGTTGCATCCTGGGACGCCAAAGACCTATCCACCAATTTACTTTTTCCGCTAAATTTAGCGAGGAAGTTGATTTTTCGTATAGTTCGCGTGACGTCAAGTCACATTGCGTCACTTCGCCGCTAAATTTAGTGAGAAAATAAGCGTCCCCTGATCTACACCTCAATTCAGTTTCCCCGCTACATTTAGCGGGAAAATTCACGTCACGTGATTTGATGCCACGTGACGCTACAACGTGACCTATGGTCCTTCATTGATTTGTAAATAACATTACATTTTTGTTTCGTCCACAGGTATGAGATGAGAATGAGATGGGCAGGAAGGATATCCATTCGCCTCACCTCCAGCGCAATCCTTCTACCTTCGGCAACGCTACGGCAACTGTTGCCTCCTCAGACGCGAGCGCGCGGCTAAAGCATGACGGAAGGCACGAAGCACAACAGAAGGCACTGGGGGCCGACCGTTCGAAAGACACGCCCCGCTGTTCTCAATATGTCGGCAACCACACCCTCCACCGTCAACCGAGTGAGAACTACTTTTCCTAACAGAAAAATAGTTCCGTAACTATTCCTGCCTCAATCTAAGTTCCAATCAGGAAATAAAAAAAAAAAAAGCCTATTTGAGGAGGCCGAAGAAAAACGGCAACCTTAAATACGATCGTCGGCATTCCAACAACAAGCTCCTCATTCGGCTTATTTAAGCCCGGAGGATCAGTCGAGATTAGCGAAGTACCGCTTCTGCAGGTCCCTCGCCGGCGTCGACGCCCAAAACTCGGAAGCCCCGGTGTTGTTTACGCTCCTGAAGAAGCGCCGCGCGTGTTTCATCACTCAACGACTTTCGGCTAACCACGAGTGCGCGGCTTCTTTTCTTTACTTTTCTTTTTCGGAGTCTGATTAGCTCTTTGCGCCAACTGTGAATTAGACAACATGGACAACAAACGTTTCGGTGTTTGTACGACGTCGTCACCGTATCATTAGCGACTCCTTGAAGTTTCCGTCTCGGGAGAGACCGTTGTACACGCTTTCAGCATCCACCACCCGCCGCGACGCGTGCGACCTAAAATAAGAGTGAGGAGGCGATCGGGCGATGCGAATCGGCGATCAAATCGAACCGCAACTTAAGCCTCCCAGATTAGAAAATGGTCTCGTTCGTCGGGATTACAACCTCTCTTTTTATTTATTTTTTTATTATTTTCGTTGGAATCATTAATTTGGCTAAGATTATTTTTGGTAGGCTGTTGTGGTGGGGTTAGGCGAGCAAATAAAATTACTACAGTCTACATCTTTCTCATTTAACGGGTAAAATCAAACTTTTAATAAATTGTATCATATAGTTTTCGACGCCCTCAATAAAAGTGCGTAAAGCAATAATATTTTAATATAATAGTAGCAGTACTATCACCTAACAGTAAATGAGCAAAAACATATGCATAGCTTAAAATGAAGGCATACTGAAATTTTTGTAGCACACTTCAGCCACTGACATAAGCGTTTGAAAGGGGGGGGGGGGGGGGGGGGGGGGGGGAGTATGATTACACAAGAAAGTTTAAACACTTTTTTAAAGCTCTACATGTTTAGATTGAGTTCGTTATCGTAATATGCCCATTGTTTAATTTTAAGTGGAACATATTTACTTAAAGATGCCGTGTAAGGTACACTCATTCGGTCTGTACAGGTGAGTTAAATGGCTATGTGGATATAATATAGGTTATCATATGCGTTTTCGCGCTGCTAGCATTGTGTCTTCTACACATGCGCTAATTATAGCGAACATCCATGCTTTTCGCCTGCTTTAAGTTCTTTTAAAATTTACTGATCTGGTGTTTTTAGATGGCTCGCTCAGCAAGTTTCTAGTTGGAACCTATGTTTTTATTTCTTCTCAGTTAAAGAAGTTCATAAACAAAGTTTAGTTAATTATTTGGCTTATTATAGAGATTATTCCCCTATGCTATGTCTCCTTAGCTTTATAACTAATCTGTACAAACCGCAATATTGTACCTTTTCAGACTTTTCAATTGAGTTCGAATTAAACACAAACACCCAGTATGAAATCCTCCAAAAACTGAATATATATGTAACACAAGTGTCACTAGTAGTGTATTTTGTTTGATCGGTTTATTGTCTTCTCGAATAATGAGCCAATAGGTTCATAAAGAAGCTAAGCTAACGCGACAATTTTTACTCACTTTGTGTACTAAGCGCTGTACGCTAGCAATACTACAAAGTTCAAATAAAAAAATGACATTTCGATTTCTTGCCTCCGCCCTCTAGGCAGATACTGTAAACATTTTCGTAAGAACTCATTCCTTGAAAAAAGAAAATATTTTATTCATGGTTTTGATACTGTTAAAACAACGTCTCAAAAAATATAAAGAAAGGAAAATTGAGGGTGTCTTCTCGCCTTCAACACCCACTTCCTTTTATGCGAACCGCTTTGTAAACTGATTAAGAAAAGTCGAGCGTTCGTTTTGTGCGAAGCTACCTTCGTATAATGGGCTTACTGAAATAATTTGAGCGAGAACGAAAACCTTCAGCCTAATTACGAGAAAGGTGCGCTTTCAAGCTTGTTTCTTTTTTATTTATTTATTTTTTTTTATTTTTTAGCTTTAGTTGTTGAGTTCGCTGCATTTCGTTAAATCTCGTTCCCTCCGCAAAGCCAAGTCCGGCACCGAAGATTCGCCTCGGGGGGGCTCAAGTGTTTCGCAATTTTTTTATTGCTTTTTTAAATTTTATTTGGTCCTACCTTGTCTAGGATCGGCTAAATTCGTGACCCAAAGATTCGAATGAATATTCATATGAACCTGAGTCGTGTGGCGCTCTGCGGGTCGTTAGGAAACGAGACGGTTTACATCTGCCTGCATCCAACAAAACAAAAAACAAAAACGCGGGATATCAGATTTTTTACTCGTTCTTTATGCCATCATTCCACTTCTAAAGTTGTATTTCA